GCACCGTAAATTCGAACTCTTCCATAGGCATAAAGTCTGATTTTTTGAACCGTGAATACGTACATATGGTTTGGCTTAGGATTTGTACAATGCGGCATCATATAGCTCGAACTTCCGAGACAAAACAGTCCATGAGATCGCTTACACTGAATAAAAACCGTTCAGGGTACCTAAGGGATCCGGAAGACTTTCCGCCAGGCCTCACGCAGAATTATGTTCCGTTGGTCGTGATTCGATCCAGAGTCACCCCATTTCTACCGACAGTGCTCAGCGCTGACGGATTGTTCATCTCCAGATAACCTTACGAGTCCGCCGGAACTATCATCACATATTGAACATCGAAAAAAAGGGGTCATCATTGACCCCTTTTGCAAAGTATCCAGACACACCGAAATTTAATTGCCGAGCAACAGCACCGGGAACACAAGGCTTGAGAGACCCGAAGATGTTCTTGGTATGAGTTCTAGAGGCTGATAGGGCGAGTCCTCCCGAACTGCCGTTCGATGCAATCTTCGTACCCCCTTCGTGCGCCTCGCGCGAGACACGGACCAGACTTATGATGTACAAAACCATGGGGGTTAGTAGATCATGCGGCGATGACCGTAAACATATTCACGTTGGTGCAGCGTTTGGTGGCCAAACGAGACCTGACAACAGTAGATCAGTAGACAGAACGATCGAGCGCTCAGTGAAGGCTGGACAAGCGTCTGCGACGGATACACCAGATGAAATATCGTTGACGGCGCAGCGAACGGTGTTTTCGAACACAGAAACAATGGCCGCAGGTATCTGGACAGTTTTTACGGCCCAAATGTGCATTCCAGACATATGTGAGAAATTGAGTTATGACAGATCCGTACCTTCGGGGTATCAATTACTATCAAATACATATCTGATGTGATGCTTCACGGAAAGCCTTCAGGAACAAAACGCCTAAGTGAGACAGGAGTGCAGTGTGCACAAAAGGAGGTAGGCAGACCAGAAAGGCTAAGCAACGACAGCACATGCCTGAGACAGATTGCATGTGCGCTGAATAGAGTGAGAGGAAATGACCGCCAACACAGCCAGCGCTGCGCCAATGATTGTTTATCGGATCATGAACAAGGACGTACCGCGCGTGTTTTGACTGTCAAGAAAGACAATGCTTCCTAGGGCCGGGGCTTCGGGGAAAGCCCCAAATTTGGAGCCACGCTCTGAGGGAAGAAAGAATATCAATAGTGTCAAGACAACATATAGACATTATAACATATTACACTCTGCGATAGTCATCCTCATCGTATACGATGCTTCGCTGCACGGGCCCGATAGCTGCTTTGGGCTGGATGCGCGTCGAAATACCTGTGTGAAACAAGACGATGGTTGGATTTTCTGGGGCATGGTAAGTTTCTTCCGGTTAAATCAGATGCTGGGAGGTGGAAAGCCGAAGGATAATTCTACTCGGGTTCACTCATGCATGTACACAGTGTGACAGAAGGAACGGAGGACTTACAAGTTGTGTTACATAACGTATTGAATTTACCGATTTTGGCATGTGCGACTGCAAACATAGCCAAACACGCAGATGCGCCGCGGGGTCCGAAAATCTCGAAACCAGCTGTCCTCGGCCGTCTTGTCTGCCCTCACCCGTCATGTCTTCTTCGCTGTTGGCGCTGCGCGATGCGGCGCGACCACTTCGTGTTGCACAAACATCCGTGCGCTATGCAACTCGGAAGGAGTCCATGGGAGACCCCAAGAACGACATCATCCGCCGCGCGCTATACCCGTCCAACATTCGGAACCGCCCCTCGCCGACGGGGACATGGCGACCCGACGTCGGTCATCGTTTGCAGCGTGCCATTCCCTCCGTACAGGCACACGAAACGATCGAGCGTGCATGGTTGCTGCACCAGCGCCACGTACGGCGCAAGCGGACGGCGGAACTCGAGCGCAAACACGCGTGTATGGTGAACGCGATGGAGGTGCTGCGGGAGCTAGACTCGAAGCTGTATCTGGAGGCGAACAAGGGGGAGGACCCGCGTGCGCGCAGCCAGGAGGAGCAGGAATTGGTGAAGACGTTGAAGGGCGCGGAGAAGAAGGTGGTGGAAGCAAGGATACGCGGGCTGTTCCCCCGCGAGCTGCGCGTGCCCACAGAGACACCTTCGCGGACAGGATGGAATTATGAGTGGACGCCGGTAGTGCGCCCTTCATAATGCTGGTGAGTGCATTCCTTGGTCCTAACATACAAATGTTCATGGTCTTGTCTGCGCGTTCAGGTTATCCTTGGGTTATCCCGCCTCGTTCGATCTCTAGTCGTGCGTCACATATGTTACACGCCGCTTCAGTACTCAGTCCTGAGGCAAATTTCAAGACATGATATCTCGCACTTGGCCCTTAAGCCACCCAACAGATAGCTAGTATTTCGCTCTGTGGAGGCCCACGCGACATCGTGTGGTGATATACAGCTACTAAAACAACATAGAGATCCCAGATCCTTAGAAGCGCTCTGAGAACCGGCTGTCCATCTCGCGCATGCTGAACGAGTCAGACGCCATGCCGAAGGTGGCCTCTGCGCCCCTACTCCCGGTGGGGTTCTTGCCGATCACCGCCGCGTGCACGGACTCCAGTGCGCCCGTCCACTTCTCCAGCGCGTCATATCGCTTCTTCTCCAAACTTTGTCTGGTGGCATCGAGGGTATGGTGTCAGTTTCCATAAAGTGAAAAGGGGGAAACACGCACTTGTGATCGAGCTCGAGCCGCATGGCAACCTGGTCGATGCGACCTTCTACCCTACCCTCGAGAATGAGTCCGATCAGGAGTTCCTCCACTTCACCCTCCTTGACGTTGAGTTGCTAGCATCCCATTTGTAGTCAGCTATTTCTGCATAGCTAAGCAGCACCATGCTCACCTTGGCAAGGAACGAGAGTTCGAGCCGTGTGTACGGCTTGATTAGGTCGATGAGGTACTGCGTGCGCAGACTACGCAGTAAATCGCCAATGTACGACCGGATGAAAGGGTCGTCCATGATGGTGGCCCGGTTGTCTGGTAAAGGACATGACACCCAAGACCGCGAATTATTGGCTGTATTCTGACACACCTTTGAGAATCTTCTCAGCAGAGTGGACCTCTCGCCGCTGGTATGCATCGACGAGGTCTGTCATCGCTTTGATCTGTGGGTCATTCTTGTATCTATGACAATGGCAACATCCTAAACGCGCACGCGATGCAGCGAAGCCGGAGAACTCACGGCTTTGTCTCTTGGCTGTCGAAGGGGTTGACTTCACTGCCGGTTAGCATGTTTGCAAGTACGAGGTACTTAAGAACTTGGATCCTCTGCGGCGAGCCCGCCTCGTCGTAGTTCCGGAATGACTCGAAGAAGTCTTCGAACGCTTTGTTCCACTGGCCTGATACGATCCATCAGTAGAATGCGATGGACAGGACAGCCGTGGACGCTCACGCTCCCCCATCCACATCTTCCCGCCGCATTCCTTGATGACACCCATGATGCGCGGATGAGGAATAGCAGACCGTACGGAATTCGAGGCATTGTAGATCTCCTGTAAATTGGATATCATTTCAGCATCGAGAACGCACGAATACCCAGAGGCGCTTACCTTCAATTTCTTGAAGTTCCTCATCTCGTTGTGCATCTGGATCTCGAGCGCATATATCTCGAGTAACTGTGTGCCCTTCTGGGCCAGGTCCTCACCATCTACGCCACCTGTGGTGATGTGTAGGTCACGAATAAGCTATACACGGTGTTAGCTACCTGCGAGTCTGCCCGGTCCCGCCACGCACCTTCGCTAGACGAGTGTACTCCTTGCGGTCGAGCCATAGCTTCGCAAGCTTGAGGTTCGTCTTGACGGACAGTCTCTAAAATCATTGTTAAGTGTCTGCGCGATGATTTCAGTAGCAAGCCGCCTACCTCGTTCTTGGCTTCGATAAGCGCTGCCTTTGTCGCCTGGTAGAATTGTTCTAGGACATCGACCTCGACTGGGCCGCCTTTCCCACCGCCGACATAGTCCAGAATGCCGTTTATGGTTTTCTCTGAGTAGTTGCGCGTGACGGCCGACTTGGTATATGTCAGGAGCTGCATGTAAGTCTGCAGGGCATCGTTCGGTCTCCGTAGTACGAGGAATAGCAGTTTTGTTGATTGCTTCAGTGCTTTGAATCCCCTGAGCGTACGAAATAGAGTTGGATTGAGAAATGGGTGGCACAGGGTAGTACACGCACCAGTCTCCCTTCTCTTCCTCCTGATCGACAATGGCGCGGAATTCTTTTAGCGCCTGCTCTGGGTTGTCTTCCTTCTTTGCTATACGCACAGTATAAGTTCAGCAGCCACCTTGAGTTTGAAGACTCACACTTCGCGGTGTAGTACATGTTCTCGACATCAGCGCTTCCGGCCTCGTTGTCCCCCTCGTCGTCGGAGTAGTCAAAGCCATAGTCCTGCAGATGCCGACGATCAGCCTGAAGTCGATCGGAGGAGGCGCACGGCTGACCTCGTCGTCACTCCCTTGCATGTAGTCGGCATCGTCGTCATCCATGATCGTGTGAGTGGTCTGCTGTTAGATTTACTGAGGATAGCAGTGGCGTTCGATGTCAAGTCAACTCTAACGCGACAGAGAACTTACGTGGATTCTAGTTCCTAGCCACTGCTAGTTCTACGGAGAACGCTTTCAAGTGCCACAGGTGTCGTCCACGAGACGCAAACACGCAGATACACAGCAAGTGCCGCGGCGCTGAACCAAGTACGCGTCCCATCGACTATGAGTGGCACGTGATTCAAGCATGCCGCACACGTGAAGGACGCGATCTCCGAGTCTTTTGAAGAATTATTTTGTGGTGACACATGGGTACTGTGGCGTGGTTCCGCTTCGTAATAGACGATACGTTAAGTATCGGCGCATTCCCCCAGGTCCTGGATCTTCAGGCGGGAAAAGATGTCTTGTCCGATGGGCTAGGAGTCCTGCAATTCGTGTGAGGATGGATAGCTTGAAAATGCTATTTAAGCTTGCTCTAATATGCGGTGAGATGGCCGAGCGGTCTAAGGCGCCAGACTAAGGCAGGAAATCAACTTCCAGCAATCTGGTCCGAAAGGGCGTGGGTTCGAATCCCACTCTCATCATGTTTTTTGCGTGCCCTTGTCGTGGTGGGAACTACAGTGACGGTGTAAAGCATGCTAGTTGTATAGTAGCAACCCTATTAGAGCGATGCACACTGATATGCTTTGCGTCTGCCACGGCCACAGGGTGACGCGAGAGTATACTGACCAGAGATGAATGTTTTCAGAACTGCTGAATAGAGTATTCATGCACATTATGCCAAGAAACACCAGGATTATATCCCGCCATCAAATCCGCCCCTACACTATATGCAGCATCATACATGACAACAAGAGGAGTCATCGCTTGGCTCCGGCAGGCAATAGAACTCATTCATTATCCCCGAACATGATCTTGAGATTTTCTAGACTTTCCGGATCGCCGCCCGCTTTACCCCGGAAAGCCTCCTTGACGATGGCTGTTTTTCTCTTTTGTATCTGAAGAATGCGGCCCTCGATCGTTCCAGAGACCTGGACAATTTACTAAGCAAGCATCTACCACTGAGGCCGAGGGCGCATACTCACGATGAAGTGCTTAACATAAACCGTCTTTTCCTGGCCTATCCTATGGACTCGGTCGATCGCTGGATAGCTTATCAGCATGGTCGACTCTCATACGTGTCGCAACACACCTTGATTCTCGGTAGCGGCATTCCACCAGCAATCCATCTATAGCATCACGAAATGAGTATGAACTCATCTAAGAGCAGCGGCAGACCGACCATGAAGACGTGATTGGCATTTGTCAACTGTTGCAAAAAGTAAGTAGCTGTGTACAGCAAATAAGACGGACTGACATTCAAACCGACACCTCCAGCCTTCAAGCTGACGATAAGGATTTTGGGTTCCCGGGATGCCGACTTAAATTTAGACACAGCATCATTGCGCTTCTTGACATCCATAGAACCATCGAATCGGAACCACGGCAGATGTTCTCTTTCTAAGGCAGTCTGGATGAGGTCCATGAAGCTTGTGAACTGCGAGAAGACAACAGCCCGGAAACACGGATCCTGGTCTCTCAGCCGCCCTGAAAGAGTTGAGGGAATTTAGAGCAAATCAGAGCAGGAGACAACACGTACTCAGGTTTTGAAGTAGTGCCTCCAACTTGGTTGACGAGCGGAAGTCGTTTCGTCTCAACGTGAACGTAGTTGGTGGGGTATCAGAAAATGCCGTCCCATCGATGCCACCCTCTTGTCTCGTCCGCACGACTTCGATTAGCTCGCTCTCCTGATCGTGAATGACATAAATAAATCACAGTCAACACTGGTTGAAAAGCTTACCTGGACCGGTCCACGCGAGCAAGTTGGGCACTTGCCGTCCTCGCCTTTGTCACGACAGCTCTCGATGTACGCGACGATGCAATCCTTGCAGCTGCCAGACTCAACTATAGGCAGTTTATATGCAACTGAAGGGCAACGAACGCACCATTGGTGAAGACAATTAGGAATGATGACCGGCATTTGCATCACGTCGAAACAGATCGGACACTCCACATTGCCGTCTTGTCCAAGGCTAGCGAGGACGCCCTCTGCGAAGACTTTATTATCATCAGCGGCGTTCTCCCCGTCGCTGAACCGCTTGATCAGCGTGTCCAAAGCGATGGCACCGTCGCCCGTCCGCTCAGACTTATTGTTAACGTTCGAGATCACCAAGCTGGGGTGTAGAACTGCACGTCGCAGCCTGGGAAAGCACGATCAGACCACAACATGTGCATTGGGGAGCTCTGCCATTACACACCTCATGAGCATAGCAAGGATGTGGGTGTAGTTCTTGCTGACAAGCCCCTTTGCAATCAGCTGGTCGAAATTTCTCTTGGCATCCGTGTACAGCGAGTCGTAAATTTTCCGCTCCAGTGGCGAGAACTCCAGAGTCTCTACCGTGACCTCCTTGGAAGGTAGTTCGACGATCTTCCGGCCGTCCGTGTCGCGCATATCCTTCTCACGACGCAGGAGAACACTTTCGAGAATGATCTGCACGACTTCGACCGCTTTGGGATCCCGAGCGAGGAAAGGGAGGGTGATGAATCTGCATATCTGGTCAGCTTCAACACAAATGACCATCGTGAGTGACTGACGAGCGGAAGAATGTGTAATTCGACCATGGCTCGAAGTTGAGAAATCTCCTGCGACATCAGTGAGTTCGGTGTGAATGTCATCATGTTAAGAATACCTACAACAGCGAATAGAGGTCTTCCAGACGGTTGACAATGGGTGTCCCTGGAGTCGATCAGTTACAAATACCAAACAGTCGACTTAACGACGGAGTTACCTGTGACAGCCCACCGTCTTCGTGCCCGCAATGCGTACACAGCCTTAGCAGTCTTGCTTTGGCGCGACTTGCAGTGATGTGCCTCATCCAAGACGACACCTGGCGCCGTGAAAACCAAGCGTGAGTTTTGCGGGGAGCAGTCTTCCGAAAGACCACTCACGCAGCCATTCAACTACATCAACAACACAAATGAGTTCCTTGGCGCAGCCATATCACCGAGTGCTACCGCTGACGACTCACTCTCAAACACGGGCGACATCCTGCTTCCATTCAGCTTCTCTGACTTCGCATGCTCCGACACGAGGGTTCCATACGATGTGATCACAACATCCACTGCATCATCACCCTCGACGGCAGCATCCAGATCCGTGCGATTCTGACTATGCCACACGAGCACCTTGAGCGTGCCTGATGTGCTCGAACGCAACAGCTCCTCGGCCCATTGCGATAGTAGCGAGGTGGGTGCGACAATGAGCGTCGCATGGGGCCCCCGCGCGGGCTGCGCGTGGGTTTTGGACGGGCGGAACGCGGCGTTCAGCTTGAGCTGGCGCGTTCTAGAGGAGCCGGGATTCGGCGAGACGCTAGGCTCTTCAGGACCGCATGCTGTCTGGATGAGGGCAGAGAGCATGATGGTCTTACCCATACCCACTGTGGCAAGGACATGAGTGGCGAGAGGTGGTAGACAAACATTACGCACTTTCTATATAGCATTCAACGTGCCAGATAGGAACACAGTCAGCGAAGGAAGAGTAGAGTCGGTGAGATCATGTTACCATCGCTGGTAGACGCACAGTCAAATGAGCCATCTTACGCAAAGAAAGTGTTGAGCTGACGTACGCAAGAATCCCGCCTCGACATTTGCGTTCTGCCTTTGGGAAGTCCAGGCTAAGCTCACCGGAGTATTCGTTGAAGTAGAATGTCTTGTCGTCAATCGTCAGATCCATCACATTGCCAGGCTCGAGCGGGAAGAGATATCTGGAGATAATTGAGAAGTGATAAACGAGGAGAGCAGAATATACTGCACTCTTTCCAGAGTGGATGCATGGAGCGTTCCTCGCGTGCAGATGCTGCACCCGTCTCGATGGAGTGCATCCAACTAAGGCATGTTGAAGCGTGAGCTCTTCGCAGATACGAAGGAGGTGCGTGCTCACAGCAATGCTTGCTTCTGATAGCCTCGCAGTGTAAGGGTAAAAGTGTCGGCAGGGTTCATCTCACCCATGTTTTGGTCATTTTGCTGCGCCCTGGGAGACGTCAGTGCCCCTATGCAGAGAAATTATGTATGAGACTACTTCTTGTATATCAGATCCAGTTCGTTCTCCGAGAGCTCTTCTCCATCTGCTTCGACTTCGACTTCTTCCCCATCGCCCACTATCTCTTTCTTGACAGGCTTCTTGCCCTTGCTCGTACCCGAGCGCTGAGTGATCATCTCCAAATCCTTCTGATCCGGCCCACGGTGTGGCGTTCGAGCAAACCCACTGCCTTTGTGAGGCTTGAGCCCGATCGCCTTGAACATGCTCACGAGAGAGCTTTTGCGCTCACGCAGCATCTGCTCGGTAGCGGTCTCCTGGCCTTCGTCGAACATGTTTCGCGGTTTCTCGTCTGGGGATGTGTTGGCAGGCTTAAATGCCGATACCTTGATGTACAATGACAGAGATATTATCAAGTCTGCGCCAGAACGGAGCTTGGCTGGACAGTCTACGATGGTGCTCCCTCGGAAATCGACAATGTCTGACAAAGCTAGAGTGAGACAGGCACTGTTGGCCACTGTAATCACTACTCACCAAGGTCTAACAACCGGGAAACCCAGGATGCGACATCCTGAGGCAACCGGCCGAATTCTACAATGGCAATATCAGTAGAGCTTTCACAAATAACCTGCATCACGTACCGAAGCCTCCCTGGTTTGTAAGACGGACGACAAGATCTTGTTTCTTCTTCGCGGGTTTCTGAGGTTGTGCCTTCAACATCGTGGTTAAGGACAGTTGCTTCTTGCCCCCCTTGCCCTTCGTGTCCTGCACCTTCGCCTTCTTTGCCTTCGGAGGTGGTACATCTTCCTGTGAGTCTCGTACAATGCAGATACCATCTCCAGGCTTCACATAGCCTGTACCACTGACGGTACTCCACGCGTTGCCTACGAGAAATGAGCCCAGGTATGCGGAGTTGAATTGTAACGAAGGAGCTTCGGTCGGAGCTGGGGGAGAAAGTCGCCGCTTCTTGGCAGGAGGTTCGATATATTCAAGAGATGACACAGGAGAGGAAGGCCTGTTGTCGGGACCAGAGGATAGACTCGACACGCTAGACGCTCTTGGCACCTCCTCGAACACCAGAGGCTCGATGTCCTCGTCAATCGCGTCTTCTCCCAGGATACTTGACCGTATCTGGAATGGTCTTGGGGGCGCGTTGGGCATGTCGTCGTCGTCATCACTGTCCGCAAAGAAGAGAGCCTTTGGCGATGCAGCAGCGGGGGCTGCATGGCTAGTCGCGCCGAGAAGGTCGTCCTCATCATCTGAGCCTGCAAAAAAGGTCATACTAGTCTCCCGTGGCCCGGTGTACGAGAGTGAACCGGATGGGTGACCGTCGACGAGTGCAACGTTGGACGCGTCGAGGTCGAAATGAGGGATGGGCGCTTCAGCCACCAGCGCGTCGCCTCCAAACAAGCGTCAACTGACGCCTCCTCATTTCCAAGTCCCGCATATCCCGACTCCCGTACGCACGAGAGCTCTGTGCGCCAGACATCCACCATGCAGCGCGGTCTT